GGCTGGTGTCAGTTTTCTCAGAGCAAGTCCCCTTCCCCTCTCTCACTTCTCAAGGGCTCAATAAACAGTCAGCTTCCTTGCTGTTTCTGCAGTGGGGTTTCTCAAGCTCTTCTGTGTGTGTGTGTGTGTGTGTGTGTGTGCATGCGTGCTTACACACATATGTGCACACACTGCACTGAGGTTTAAACTTAGGGCATTCTCAAGGTTAATTCTCTATCACTTGAGCCATACAACCAATTGTGGCTTTTGCCTTGGTTAATTGAAGTTATAAGTCTCATGAACTTTTTTTTTTTTTTTGTCTGAACTGGCTTTGAAACATGATCCTCAGATTTCAGCCTCCTGAGTAGCTAGGATTACAGGTGTGAGTCACTGCTGCCCTGCTTTTTTTTTTTTAAGTCTATAAACGAATCTGAAAAACATGTTTCTATATTGACTTGGTATGAATTATGGTCTTGCTCCCAACTGCTAAATTAGAGCTGAGAGGCTGTCTCCTTTCGGGCTCACGGTCTCCCCTCATCGAACTGTCCTTTTTTCATGCAATCTAGAATGTGCCTCTTCTTACTGATTCTTTTTTTTTTTTTTCTTTTTTAAACCAGTCTTGTTTGGGAGGATTATTCATCCATCCAGTATTAACAGCAATTAGACTCACCTCGTGATGTGTTACGCCGTCAATCCACCACCATCCGCCACCATCCGAGAAGGAAGATTCCCGTCTTATCTCAGTAATAAACTTTGACAAGCAAAACACGGGAAGAGAATTGACAACCCGGATCACTGAGGGCCTCTGGAGCAGCCGGCTGGACCCTGGCTGGACTCTGCCTGCTCCACCCACATAGAGATAATGGCGTTCATTCCACTAGCTCTGCCCAGGCTGGGACATCGTCTGGAATGATGTTTTCTCAGAAAAGTTTCCAGGCTCCTTAAAAGCCTTCACAACATTAGCATTCTCTTTCTAAACCTAATCTATTTAATTTTATTGGAAAACATTTACCTAGTTCATCAGCAGGCTCTCTAGTATTGAGTAATATTTAGCATGCTGTAATCATAGGAAAGAGAGATTTAGATTAAATGCTGCTTTTTATTACTGTTCAATCATCGTAATTTGTTCCACTTTTTATCTTTTTAGTCAACAGATTTCAAAGGTGGGAAAATACCTTCATTTGCAAGCATACCTGTATTTATCTCCGATTATATTTTCCATTAGCGTCTACATGAGATTTATTCCTGGTGATTTCCAACAAAGTAAATGTGAATCTCTTCACACCAGATGCTAATAATAAAGACAAATGCATCCTATCTCTTCGAGATGTTAGGAGAATAAATTAGATAAAATTTACAGGGGAATTTGACTGTACTAGTGATAGTACATAAATAAAAAAATTTTAAGAACAAAAAATGCCATTCAATGAGCCAGATTGACTTGATAGACCAAATTTTATTCCAAGTAAACAATTCCACTAATGAAGGTTCTGTTCATTAAGAATAATGCCAGTGGTGACAATAAATTCTATATCTGGGCGGAAACTTAGATCTCTGCTTAGATGGGCAAAATGAGCTCTTCTTTCTGTGTGTTTATGTGCAATAAGCCTTGTACAAAGTTAATCATCTAAATTATTTTAAACTTTTTTCTATATTTGTTAAGATATATGGGTTTCAGCCAGGTGCTAGCAGCTTATCCCTGTAATCTTAGCTACTCAGGAAGCTGAGATCTAAGGATCATGGTTTGAAGCTAGCCCAGGCACAAAAAAATTCTTGAGATTCTTTTTCTAACCACTAAAAAGCTGGAAACAGAGCTGTGGCTCAAGTGGTAGAGCAGCCTTGCATGAAAGAACCAAGTAAGGGAGTGAGGCTTGAGTTCAAGCCCAAGTACTGGGAGGAAAAGAGGGATTATAATAGGGACCAGGGGGCTGGGAAGGTGGCTCAGTGGTAGAGTGCTTGCCTGGCATGCATGAGGACCTGGGTTCGATTCCTCAGCACCACATAAGCAGAAAAAGCCAGAAGTAGCGTTGTGGCTCAAGTGGTAGAGCACTAGCCTTGAGCTGAAGACAGCTGAGGGACAGCATCTGGGCCTGGAGTTCAGGCCCCATGACTGATCAAAAATAAAAAATACAAATAAATATGGACCAGGGAAGACTTACTAAAGTTGTGGTAAACAGATTTCTAAGTCATAGGCGAAACAGGTACATTTAGACAAACTGTGGTTACATTATGATGATCTAGAACCCAAATGGAACTTTCCAAGGGACAGCACAGAAGGGAAGCCGCGTCATTACATGTGGAGGACACCTTGCCGTCTGGTGTAGAGCTGCTGGCAAGCCAAGCTGCTGGCAAGCCAATCAGTAGTATTTGGGGATGTCTGAAAGCCCGTCTTTCCCACTGTATTTATCAAACATTCTTCCACACTGCTCCAGAAATTTAAGGATCTGGGTTAAGAACTTCATATTCATGAAACATGGAAGGAGTGAAACTTGTAGGACCATAACCAGATATGGTGGATTGTGTCTGTAATCCTAGCTCCTTGGGAGGCTGAGCCCAGGGGTATTGAGTTCAAATCCCAATACCATAAAAAAAAAAAAGTGTAGAATGAGGACATGGAATAATGAAATAAAACAACACTTGCTGCGTACTTCCTGTATGCCCAAGCGCTGCAGCAGAGCTGCCTGTGAAACCGATGCTATTAGGATTTCCAGTGTTCGAAATGCCACACCAGGGGGAGAAAGGTTAAAAACCCCACCCGATTTCACACAGCTCGCCCGCAGCAGAGTCGGACTCTGGTCCGACTCAGTGCTCCCCAGCAGTGTCTTTTCCTGCCAATTTCTCTACAAGCACCTCAGTACCACATAGCCTATTCCTGTAGGTGGAAAACTGGAGACAAGCAAGACTGTACTTTTCAATGATGACTAGAAAGGAAAATGTCAATGGTGAACCTTTTTCTAGAAAGCGACGTATTTCTAGAAAAGTTGAGATTCTCATATTAAGATGACCCATGTCAAACGGCCCTGGCTCATGAATGGTAGCTGTTGGCAGCCCAGGCACCTGGCACTGCGATTGGCCATCACGAAGGAGCACTCTACACCACCCAGACTCCAGAGGGAAATGAGCACCGTGACGCAGACGTGCATTTGAGATGGAGGAACTGAGGTCATTCGTGGTGAGCAATTGATCTCTGGATGACAGGGGTCACTTCTGCAGGGAGAGGCACTGCTGGGGACTCAGGCTGCACTGTTTTCCCCCTCCGTGCAATGTAAAAAGGCCTCTTGCGGGTCTCCCTAATGTCTGGGGTGAGCTATGCCCCCTCATTGCTTTTTGTTTTGTTTTATCTTATAATACACTCCCCATCCCTGACAGAATGCCGGAAAATAGTTAAGTACAAGCCTTTCCATAGCAACCGACAGCACCTCCCAGACATGAGCCCCGTGTGTCTCCCTTGAAGAAAGCTTTAATGTTATAATAGACTGATTTAAAATGAAGCCCAGGATCCCACCACCCTGAAGCCAGCTTCCCCAGTGAGCTCAAGAAAGGACGTGTTGAGGAGTGACTCACTGTGGCTTCCTCCTGCTCATTTCTTTGCTACCACCACTGCCGCCTCTTCTACCTCTTCTTTCTCCACCTCCTCCTCCCCCACCCCCTCCTCTTCCCCTCCCTCTCCTCCCCCTCCCCTTCTGCCTCCCTTCCACCTCCTCCTCCTCCTTCTTCTATCTTTTACTCCTCTTCCTACTCTTCTTTTCCTCTTCTCCCTCTTCCTCCTCCTCCTTTTGTCTTTCTTCTCTTCCCTCTCCCTCTCCTGTCTCCCCCTCCTCCTCCTCTTCCTCTTTCTTCTTCTTTTAAATGATACCTTAGTTTTACTAGTTATACAGATTTCAAGAGAGAGGGCTAGGGGTGGGGAAGGTGGGTCAGTGGTAGAGTGCTTGCCTTGCATGCATGAGGCCCTGGGTTCGATTCCTCAGCACCACATAAGCAGGAAAAAAAGCTGGAAGTGGCGCTGTGGCTCAAGTGGTAGAGCACTAGCCTTGAGCTGAAGAGCTGAGGGACAGCGCCCAGGCCCCGAGTTCAGGCCCCACTAAAAAAAAAAAAAAAAGGCCAGCGCTACTTGTAATAGAAAGGCCCAAATCCAGTATAGTCAAGGTTTGCAGAAGTTCAATACAAGACAGGGAGGAGCATGAGGGGTAGTGCTTATTTCCTGCATTTCCACTCTATTAGAATTATGTAAACAGGATAATTGTAAAATAGATAAGTCACAGGGAAGGAAAGGTAGTGGAAGGGTCAATTTTATAGCTATCAAAAACCCACCATCATTGTAAGCCAGGCACCAGTGGTTCATGCCTTTAATCTTAGCTACTCAGAAGGCTGATATCTGGGGATAAAGGTTCAAAGCCAGGCCAGGCAACTCCGTGAGACTCTTAGCTCCAATTAACTGCTTAAAAGCTGAAAGCAGAGCTGTGGCTCAAGTGGTAGAGCACTAATTTTGGGCAACAAAGCCCAGGGACAGAATCAAGTCCTAGTGAAGCAAGGAGCCTGAGTTTAAATAATTTCTTACAGCCATCCTGGTACCGCTTGCTGGGTAGAGGGAGTTCTATACCTAGTGCTAAAAAGCCTAGAGGTGAGAGAGGCCATTCATTGAATGCTGATATCTAGCTCAAGGTGAGCTAAGAGGGCTCTGCTTAGGAGAAATGCAGAAGTCATAGCTTTAGGAGAGCTTTGCTTATAGAAAATGCAGTGGCTCATGCCTATAATTAATCCTAGCTACTCAGGAGGCTGAGATCTGAGGATGGTGGTTCAAAGCCAGCCTGGGCAGGCAAGCCTATGGGATTCTTATCTCCAATACACCACCAGAAAAACCGGAAGTGACACTATGGCTCAAGTGGTAGAATGCTAGCCTTGAATTGAAGAGCACAGGGACAGTGCCCAGGCTCAGTTCAAGCCCCATGACCGACAAAAAACAAACAAACAAAAAAAAGCTTTGATTCTACCTTGATTACCTCCCTAAATGGCTTACATTACCTGCCTCTGAGTAGCCTCTAAGATTTCCCCTATATGGAAGGTTGAGGTGTATCTTCCCTAGTTAGAAAAGTTCTCAAGGTACTTGAGCTTGTACCTAAGTATGTCCATATAAAGTCTGCTTTTGTTAAGGCTTGGTCTCCACCCCAAGCATGTGATTAAAAGCTTGGTGCAAGCTCTGTTTGGGCTGCTGGTCTTCGAGACCAGAGTCTACCATGCAGTCACTGGCCTTTTAATAAAGACTCCTGATTCATTCTCTCAAAATGTGGCTTCCCCATTTCTCTCCATACAACACTAGGACCGGCACACATACATAAAAAAGAAACCCAAGAACAAACATCCTCCTCCTCTCCTATCTGTCCCAATTCCATCCATGCCCTCAAGTTTTGTGGTTCCATTTTCACATACGTACATTGAATATGATTATTGAATATTTTGAATAATATATTGGATATGATTATCCAATAATCATATTCAATGTACATATGTGAAAATGTTTGTGCGCCTTTCCTCTCTCTATTTGCCTGCCCTTTCCCCCTGCTTGCTCCTGCCAACAAAACACGTTTCAGGTTCCTGGTATCCATTTTGATAAACAGTTAGTTATTTAGAGGAGTTACGTCATTGGAACCCTCCCTTGAGTCTACTATATTTTAGTCCATTTGTTTGTGTATATGTGACATTGATCAAGACGCAGTGTACTCCTAATTAACTTGTTGAACTAAAACCCCTTGGTACGACTACTTGAAAAAAGTTAGAACCCATACTGTTAGGCAATTGGAAGTAGAAGCTAAAACAGGAGCAGAACAAGGCTTGTGCAGGTAGTTTCTGGTGCTGGCCCTAATTAAGACTCCCCCAAACACCTGCCTGTGTGGAGGGGAAGCCTCCCTTCCTGTCCTCCAGTTAGACTCCAGGCACAGCTTGGGACCCCCAGGAATCTACTCACCCTTGTGTCTGGGTGGGGATGAGAAGGGCGAGAGGGGCGTGTCCTCCTGCAGCTGCTGTCCTTTCTCATGCGTGGGGCGGGCCTTGCAGACGCGCTCAGGCCTGCTCACGGCATCATGCCACTATGTGTGCTGGATTGCATCCTTCAGGTTCGGAGCAGTATCCTCTTTTTTTTTTTAAGGCTTTTATTTTTATTATAAAGGTGATGTACAGAGGGGTTGCAGTTACGTAATTCAGGAGCCTCTTCTCTTGAATTTTCTACCCTGAAAATTGTGTCCAGTTTTCTATGTCCCTTCTATTAGGGTTTCTTCTACAAGTCAGGGGCCTTGGTCTTCACAAATTATATTTCAGCCACAGATATATATGTGTATATTTATTTATTTACACATTTTTGCTACTGAGTTTTGCTGCTAAAAATTATTCAAAAGCCATGTGGCTGCAGGGTTTGCTGGCTCTTAATGTGTCATGAGCTGTTCATTTTAATTGGAAATATTCTAAAAGCAAGATTGATGTGTTTTCTATTCCTGTAAAATAGAAACCAGTTCTGGCTCATAATTGAGCACTCGTAAGTCCTCTTTCCTTATTAACATGCCCCCTCTAATTTGGGTCTCTGTTTGCACAATATAAATGGCCTTTAGCAGCCCTTCATTCATACAATAGTCTCAGTAACCCATAGAAAATTAGGAGCAGGCAAAAGCCTATTTTAACTGACACAGAGACAAAAATGCTAATTACCTTAAAATATTCTCAAGTGTATATCTTTGGCAACCTTCCAGGTAACGCTCAAAACTTTCTCTCCCCCCCACCCCCGCCACCCTCCTTTATTTACTAGTAATAAGGGAAGTTGATTTTGGTTTATGTTCAGGCTTCTATGTATGTTTATGTTTATAATTTAAAATCTTTCTTTTGAGCAAAGTACTAGTGATAGCTGATGTATACAGTTTGTTTTCTTCCTCCTCATGGCTACACTCAAGAGTTTTCCCATTTGTGATCAATTATGTAGTGGCTATTTTTGTTAAGGCACTCAGATACATATGAAGAAAAAAAACAGGGCCTTACAATTGTGAAATTTATTTTATTTAAGCATATGAATGGATATACATTTTAATGTTTCTGTAGAACTTCTTTTACTTTTCTCTGATAATTAAATTGTGCAGGTTGATTGTCAAAAGCCCTTCTTCCTCTGAAAAAGTTTTAAAACAAAAGCCTCCAGAAACTGGAGGTGTGGCTCAGTGGCAGAGCACCTGCCTAACAAGCATGGGGCTCTGAGTTCTAGACCCAGTACTGGAGCAAGAGAACATCAAACAACAACAAAAAACTCCTAAAGCTTCTTATGTAAAAAGTAAGCCACAGAGAAACAAAGTCAGTGCAACTTACCAAATTATGATATCAGGTGCTTTTAGAATACTTACATGAAGCTGCTTATCATATTTGTGACAGATATTTATTAAAGTTGTATTATTTTTAGAGTATTGTGGTAGGCTTGGCTTATAAAAAGTAAATAAAAGTGTACTTCTCTTGGAGAGAGTTTAAAAAACAAGCTTAGGAGAAGAAAATACATATGCTCTAAAAGTTAACTAATGGTACAGAAAATTGAAAACAACAGAAAGGGATGCCACAGTCAGTGTTAGGTAGAGTGAAATTATTCACAAAACATGTGTTCAACTTAATCATAAGCAATCAGCATAGTGTGTGTGTGTGTGTGTGTGTGTGAATGGGGTTTGAACTCAGGGCCTCATGCTTGCTAAGCAGATGCTGTAGGACTTGAGCCACACCTCTCCTTTTGGTTTTAGTTACCTTCCAGAGAGTCACATGTTTATGCCCTAGATCTAACTGGACTAAGATCCTCTACTCAAGCTTCCCTTGGAGCTGGGATGACAGGTACATAGTGCCACACCCAGTTTTTTATTTGAGCTGAGGGTCTCATTAACTTTTTGTAATCTTCCCCATTTTCCTAGTTTCCCTCTTCTCAGAAGCCCCTGTGACAGGCCCACACAGTTTTAATAACACATCAAAGACCCAGATAGACACTTCGGGCAAGAAGAAAAACTAATATTGAACCACCGATGAGAGGATGGTCAGCACTATTTGTCGGTAGGGAAGTGCAAATCAAAGCCACAATGGGATGCTGCTCCATATCCAGCGGGCTGGCTACAACCAGAGGACAGCTGACACCCAGTGCGGCTGACACCCAGTGTGGCTGACACCCAGTGCGGATGACACCCAGTGCGGATGACACCCAGTGCGGCTGACACCCAGTGCGGCTGACACCCAGTGCGGCTGACACCCAGTGCAGATGACACGATGAAGAACCCGGAGCCTGTGAGCACTGCTGGTGAGGATACAAAATGGCAGAAGCACTTTAAATAGCAGCTTGGCACTTGCTGAAAAGCTAAACCGAGACTTACTATAAAACCCAGCAATTTACTCCTAGGAATCTGCCCAAGAGATCTGAAACCCTACGATCCAAGATATGCATGAAATTGCTCCTAGCTGTGTTACTCACGATAGCCCCACATGGACATAGTCCAAATATCCATCTGCTGGTGACTGGAAAACACAACATGACGTACCCACACAATGGAATATTAGTCAGCAAAAAAAGAAACCAAGATTTATGGTAAGGTCTCAAAGACACCCGCTAACTGAAAGAAGCCTGCTACGCAAGGCTGCTTTTAGAGGATTCCACTTTATATCGAGTCCAGAAGAGGCAAATTATAGAGACACAGAGCGAATCAGTGATTGCTTGCAACTGCAGGGCCTGGGGACAGCTGAGAGCAGGTTAACTGTGAACAAGCATGAGGGGACTTTCGAGGGCTATGAAAATGTTCTAAAACTGGATTCCAGCGATGGCTCACACCTGTATGCACTTACTAAGAATCATGGGATGGGTTTTATGTGATATAAGTTATACTTCAATAAAGCTGCTGAAGAAAAATTCCAATGTCCTCTGTATAGACTGGGCTAACATGGTCATCTGAACTTCCCACGTTTACTTCAGTGCTCAAATTCAATTCAAAGATGTAGCTGCATCCGTAGACATGAACCGTTCACAGTATGCAAAATCCTTTATAACGATCACGTTCATTTGATCCTCACTCCAGCCCTGTATCATGTAATATAGAATAGGCAGATTTGTTTTTCCTTTTAGCTGGGTTCTAAGGAAACTTCAATTACCATACAGATCATATCATAATAATAATTATTATTTTGTGCAGTGCTGGGGATCAAATACAATGCCATGTGCATGGTAGACAGGTGCTCTACCAGTGAGATCTAGCTTCAGTTCTAGATCATATCATTTTACAATCAAAAGTCATCCTGGATAAAGTAATCCAAGGAAACTAAATAGAAGACGTCATCATTGCCCACATTGCCAGAATGCTTTCACAAAGACAAGTATTTTCTATTTGCTGAATTATACTCAAGGATACCAGGTAGTGACTGGAACTCATTACAGGAACTGCAGAAGGACCTGACTGCGTAGCCTCACCCCCCCCCCCCCCCGCCTTCCTCCTTTCAGTCTGTGGCGGTTTCTGACTCTGAGGCGTTTGCATTTACAAATATTGAAATGCATGTGATAGCATTGTACATTCAATTAAGTGTACCATGACTAACATTACAGGAACTAATATCCTCTGGCAGAAATGAAGCTGCCAAAAAAAACAAAATGGAAATGAGTGTATTAATTTGGTTTATAGCAAATTCTTCTCTTGAAAGTGCGAAAGGAACTTAAATGAACAATTCCTGCTTAGTGAAAGCAGAACATCACAATGTTTAAAGACATGTGACCTGTAAAGTGTCCAATTATGTAACTTGAAAATTTATGTGGCATTTAAACAAACATGCGTACTAAATTAAAACCACATGAATCTCCTTTATATTGATTATACATATGCAACACAGGCCAAAATTACAGTCTTTCACATTTAGCCTGAGATTTAATGCTGTGGATTAGAAACAAAAAACAAGGCTAGCTACTGGCATTATCTCATGCAATTTTTGCCATAGATTTAGATGGGCAAATTTTTCTTCAAAGGTAGAAAATATTAGACTTGCGCATACTGAAGATGCTGCCTTACCATCTCAGCCATGCATCTGTTCATTCATCTACTTATAAACTTGTGCAACCTCTGCAACTTTGCAAGAAAGTACGTGCATTGTCAGCCTTAGAACTGCAACTTTGCTGGGCGCTGGGTGCTGGGGCACTGGGGCGCTGGGGCGCTGGGGCTCGTATTTGTGCTATTGAGAGGGTTGAGATGAGATCTGAAAATTTCAAAGTTCAAAGCTGGCCCAGGAAGGAAAGTCCAATGAGATTCTTACCTCTGTTTAATCACCAAAAAGCCAGAACTGGGAGTGTAGCTCAAGTGGTAGAGTGCTAGCTTTGAACAAAAAAGCTAAGGCCCTGAATTCAAGAGCCAGTACTGGCACAAAAAAGGTGACCCCTGACCCCTCCTTATCTGATCTGCAATACATTTAATCCTGCAATCCTTCCCCGTGAAGCTTGTAAGAATACTTAAATCATCTTCAATCTGACACCTCCTGTGCTTTCCAACTACGACTGAAACACGCTCCCAACTGGATTCGTTTGAACAGAAATAGAAAAATACAATTGACTTCCAATGGTCAATTTTGATATCTTCTAGTCATGAAGTTTTCACATCAATTTACACAATATAAAATGTAAACGAAATAGCTAGGTACTAGTGGTTCATGGCTGCAATCCTGCTACTCCAGGCCGAGATCTGAGGATCATCATTTGAAGCCAGCCAGGGCAGAAAACTTGCTTATCTCCAATTACCTAGCAAAATAAACAAAAACCAACACAGAAATGAAGATGTAGCTCAAGTGGTAGAGTGCCAGCTTTGAGTGAAAAAGCTAAGGAAGAATGTGTGCCTTGACTTCAAGCCCCTAGTAGAGGCACGCACACACACACACACACACACACACACACACACACACACACACACACACACACACACACACACACACACACACCCCAAAAACAAGTAATTGTCTTCTGGCCTGGAATATCAACATGACCTTTAATGTCCTGGTAGCTCATGCCTGTAATCTTAGGTATGCTGGAAGCTGAGGATCTCAGTTTGACATCTAGGCAGACAAATCTAGGAGACTTTTATCTTGAGTTAACTAGCAAAAAGGCAGAAGTTGGAGATGTGGCTCAAGTGGTAAAATGCCAGCTCTGAGAGAAAAAGGGAAGTGAGAACACTAGGGCTTTGAATTCAAGCCTCTGACCAGCACTCAAAAAAGAAAACAAGCACTTCCATATTATACCTGCCATTCCCAGCAAAAACCAAAGACTAGACAAGTAATTTTGTATTAATTCTGTTTTCTAATACTATAAAAAGTATACTGTATTTAATATTACAGTCAACTCATCAACGACATCAAGAACTATACAAATATTAATATTTAATACACAGCATCGCCTAAGTAAGGCATAATCAGAACTGAATTGATAGGATGCTAAGTGGGAAAATCCTGTTTAGACAGTTGTAAGAGAAGGGAAGCATTTAGCAAAACAAGTTTGATAGTCTTGTCATCATAAAACGGATAGCTATTTGGCATAACTTAAACTTAGCCAAAAATAATTTTTGAGCAAAGGAATAATCAGAAACTTGGATTGATTTCTCCATACTTCTCCTTCAGTTCACTTCATCAATCTCTTAGTCTGGGAATGGTACTGTGATCTGCTAGGTACAACAAATTACTATTTTGTACCATTTTTAAGTAATTCTTTTTCCCCTCCCTCCCTCCTTTTCTCTCTTTCTCTTTCTTTCTTTCTTTCCCTTCCTTCCTTCCTTCCTTTTTTTCTTTTTTTGTCCAGTACTGGGGCTTGAACTCATGGCCTACCCATTGTCCCTAAGATTCTTTTGCTCAAGGCTAGCAGCATTCTACCAGTTGAGCCACACTGCTACTTCCAGCTTTTTCTGAGTAGTTTATTGGAGACAAGAAAGTCTCGTGGACTTTCCTGTGTGGGCTGGCTTCGAGCTGTGATCCTCAGATCTCTGCCCCCTGAGTAGCTAGGATTACAGGCGTGATCCGTGGGTGCCTGGCTTTGTTTCAGGTTATTTTTAAAAGGACATATGTTAATGTCAGACTTGGGGGGGGGGGTGCGGGGAGGAGAGCAAGACAGTCTTTTCTAAATGGACTCAGACAACAAAAACACAATCTTTGGTTCATATTTTTCATGAATTTGAATCTCTTTACCATCCAGCTAGGTTTACTATGCTGTCATGAGACTTAGTGAAATAGAAGGCAAATTATTCTAGCCAGGGGATTTTTTCCCCCATCTTAGTTTCATCATGCCTGTTCTCTTCCTATAATAATAGGCAGCTATGATTGTTTGGCGGAGTGCTTTGGGACCACCGAGGTAAAGTACTGTAAGAGAGACAGTGGGCTGTATGTTGGGAAGCAGAAACAAGTTGGGGGTGGCAGGTGTCACCAGGATGCTCAGGGGGTGTGCCTGGGACAGCCAGGACTGGTGTGGGGGGGACGGGGCCGCATTTCTCAGTATCTTCCCACGCTGGGAGCCCTGTGGGATCCTGCTTGCCTCTCTTGGCAGGCCCTGCAGGTCAGGGCTCTTCAGAGTGGAGGGAGAAAGGTTTCTCTTTTTTGTTTCCCTTTATTGTTCTTTTTTTTTTTTTTTTTTGGTTGGTTGTGGGTCTTGAACTCTGGGCCTGGGCGCTGTCCCTCAGCTCTTCAGCTCAAGGCGAGTGCTCTACCACTTGAGCCACAGCACCACTTCTGGTTTTCTGGTGGTTTCATTAGAGGTAAGTCTCATGGACTTTCCTGCCTGGGCTGGCTTTGAACCGTGACCCTCAGATCTCAGCCTCCTGAGTAGCTAGGATGACAGGTGTGAGCCACCAGTGCCTGGCTTATTGTTTCCTCATATTGTTCCCTTGTATTCACAGGAAGACGTGGGGACAGGTGGCCAGGCTCAAGTGTCCTGACACTTGCCTAGCAGTGCAAAGCAACCCCAGCACCACCAAAAACATTAGCAAACCAAAGTGTCTCAAACGAAGCCCTGAGCACAGGAGCAGGTTTAGCCTGGACTTGCCCTGGCTTCTTTTCCCTCCCACTTCCGGTCCTGTTGTGGGCTGCTTGTCTGTCTTTTGACCTTGGAGCCTGGTTCTTTGGGGGCAGATCTTCCAGAACAGGACTTGGGGTGACTGGAGCTTCCCAGAGGGCTGGGAGGAAGCTACCTTCAGACACCTGTTTTCTGTCCTCCAGATCCCAACACCCCTGCCCCCGCCCCCTCCTCCCACACACCTCATGTGCCCCTGAGTCATTTGCCAGGTCTTTGACTTCCCCTCCTGGGGGAAGTTTCTGAGCCACCTGAAACTACACCAAATGTTATCTCTGAGGCCTGGATTCAAAACAAAACAATGTTAGCTGCATTTTAACAACAGGAGATAGGTATGCTGGAAGACAGAGAAAGGATCATGAAAAACACCAATTCCCAGAGTCTCCCTGAGATGGTCTTTTTTTTTTTTTTCTTTTAAATAAGTCTTAGACGGAAATATTTATTTCACTGAAACTGTGAAATATACTGTTGAGTTGGGACAAAATGTGATACCACATAAAGATAAGAGACACAGAACAGTTAGAATTAGTGGCTTTCTTCAGGATCAACTTAGATTTTGTTCCGTGTTTGTTTTGACTACATTATATGGGTTTTTAATCCTAAAGACACTTTTCACTTGAACTAAGACAGAGCCTTCCCTTTGAGTGTTGACTAGCTGGGATTGCAGAGATGGGGGGGGGGGGAAGGTTGAATTCCGGGCCTGCTGCCCAGAACGAGGTCACTTCCTTCTTCCTGCATTAGCCCACAGGACTGGGCCTGGGTGCTTGGTGTCAGCACACCTGCTCCACAAACACAGGCTGACAGCAACCCAGTGTGGTGGCAGGCCTGCTAGGATTGCTCGGGAGAGACTCAGTCTAGGCCACACCAACCGCGCAGAGGCCTCCACCCAGGTCTCCTTACACCTGATTTCTCAAGAGCAGATTGCTTAGCCAACCTTAACCATCCCGGAGGCCCGCCAAGCCGAGAGGCTCCACTCCAACTACCTTTGCCCTCATTGAGCGTTTGAAAAAGTGGGAAAGGACAACTTGACCGGAGCTTTAGGATTCAGGTGTGCGAGCTGCCTTTGGTACCAAAAATCACTGAAGTGAGAGAGAGGAGAGAGAGAGAGAGAATAAAAGCCAGCAGGGAAGGGGAGAAAAATGTCCGGTGAGCTGCAGGACAGAACGCAGCATGTCCAGACCCGGCCGGCCGGGCTGGTTCTCGCAGCTCATTCACTGGGCCTGGAAGTCCCCGCCCGTGGGTAAGGTTTCCCCGGCTCTCAGGCCGCCAGCCTCCTCCTCTCCCGGCGCTTCTCCAATTGAGAAACAAGTCAGGAAGGGACCGAAAGATCAGGGTGGAAAAAACACGGAGGGAAAAGGGGGTGTGGGGGCGAGAAACGGGTTCACGGGAGATGGTGAGGGAGAGGAGCTGCGGGCTAGCCATCAGCCACGCGTGGCCCGCTCCTCGGACGCCCCTCCCCTCCCCCTTCGCTGGGGACAGGGGTACAGCGCTCCCCTCGGGCCTGGGACAGGCTCCAGGCAGGTAATGTGGGGGTGCGGGCAGTGCCCCGCAGGGGGGCTCGCCGATGCGTGGCCGGAAAGCAGTGTGGACATCTCCAGTGTCCGGTGAGGCCAGGACCTCCCCCTTCTCCCACCTCCCCCCCCGGAAGGCGCAGCCCGGGGAGCCTGGCGCAGCCTGGGGCCTGGCGCACCCCGAGCTGCAGAGCCGGGGCAGGGCGGCCTGTGCAGGCTTTCTCCCCGAGTGCAAGCAGAGCCGCGTGTGTGCGCGTGCGCGTGCGCGTGCGCCGCCTCCCCGCCCCCAGGCCCCCGGGGCGCACGCGGCCCTGCGGGGCGCGCGCGGGAGCCCCGGGAGGTGCCGGCGCCCCGGCTGCTCGCCGCCCCGCCCGGCCCGACCCCCGGCTCGCTAGCCGACCCTTGAACTCGTCTGGCCGGTCCCCGGCTCCTCCTCCAGGCCACGCCGGGAAGAGGTGGAGGCGGTGGAGCAACCAGGCCAGGGCCCGCCCCGCCCGGCCCCGGCGGACCGCGGAAGCGTCTAGAACGCGGGGCCCTGCCCCCCCCCCCCCCTTCGCAGTCGATCGAGGCCCGTCTCGGGGGTCTGTGGTCCCCGGAAGCCCACCCACGAACACCCCCCCCCCCCGCAGGTCGGCTCGGGAGCCGTGCGCCCCGGGGTGGCCTCTCCAGCCCCCCCCCGTCTTTGCCGCACTTTCCCACGTGCCCGACCCCCCCCCCCCCAGTCCTGAGATGGTGGGTCCACCGGGAGCTCAACGAAAGGAGGGGTGCCGGCTCTCCCAGCGGCCGGACGGCGTCCAGGCGGGGCGTGGACCGGGAGGGACAGACGGACAGACGGATCTCCCCGAGGGGCAGTGATTTGTGCACTGGGCTCCGGCGCGACTGGAAGGGACGGGACCTGCGGGGGGGGGGGCATGTGGGGTGCGAAGCTACTTCTCAATCCACCCCACCCGAGGGAGCCGTGTGCAAAAGCGCAGCTCCGTCTGCGGGGACCCCCCCCCCCCCCGCCCCGGGGGCTGGGCCGGGGTGGGCCGCGCCTCCTCCAAGCCAGGGCCGGCGTCTGTCCGGTGAGCAGCGACCTCCGCGGACGCCCCACGCCCGGCCTAAGGGAACACGATGCCTGGATTGGCTTTTCTCTTGAGTGGACTTTAAACAACAACAACAAAAGGGAAATAATTCGATACAATATTCTCCTTCCAGATTGTGTCTGTTTTTCAGAAAGTTCAGGTTTTGTTTTATTTTTTAATTTTGGAATCTTGTATCAGATGAAGATGATCAACCCCCCCCCCCAATCCATGGTTTAATCAATGATCTACCACAAAAGTAATTTAAAATGCATTTCTTTTTGTGGATTCGACCCTTATAAACTGTATATTGCATTCTGTAAGTCCTATGAAACTTTGTTATTATATAGCAATTCAGGCATATCCCCCGCCCCCCAAAAATCTCCAGAGAGTTGTATGATTAACCCCTGTCCTCCACTCAGCCCCAGAGGGGAAGAGTTACTGAAGGCCCCAGCCCACGTCCGGCCCAACGGGCCATCGCCCTGCCTCTGGGGCTGGCCAGCCCCATACCTTTAAAGTTCTTCTTGCTGATAATGTTCGACCCAGACCCAGAGCGCGTCACATTTCGGTCTTTGTGTAAGTGGTGATCACATTGCAGTGGGCAGGACTTCTACTCCACAGTGTGTTGTTTGTCTGTTGTTGATGTTTTGTTTTGAGGTTTGTCCACCCTGATTCCAGCAGCCGTGCCTCTTTCCTCTACCATTCCTGGTGTCCAGTCCACATTTGGTGCATGCACGTTGGTTTCCTTACTCTTCTTCCAGGGTAAAGCCTTGGGGTGAAATCTTTCATGGTGCACATGAGAAGCGGTCCACTCTGACTACAATCTGCAACTTTTGGGGTACTGCCAAGTTGGCTTTCAGTTTTACACTTTCAGAATGAAAATATGAAAAAAATTACAGGTGATCAAAGGGGAGAGTAAAATAATTTCTCATTCCTCCATCAAGAGAAGACTTTTAATTTAAAAATCAGTATTTTGGTAAAAAAAATACCAATGATATCTACATATAAAAATAGTTACCACATTTTTATCTAACCATGTGTGTATGTATACTATACATCCTAGGTCATCCATGTGTGTAGTTCATGTATATTCTACATGCAAATCTGCACACAAATAAGCACGCACTGTATGTGTGGATGCTCACATGTACTTAAAGCTTAAACATCTCATTAATTACTTTTACTTATTTTGGCTGTACTGGGGTTTGAACTCAAGACCTCTCACACCTCAGCTCTGGTTTTGCTGGTTGTTTTTAAGATAGAGTCTCAAGAACTTTTCTGTCCTTCTGGCCTAGACCTTTGACCCTTGGTCTCGAAAGTAGGATTACTAATGTGAACTACTCATCCAGCGTAAGGATCAATTTAGTTAGTTGATTATGTTGAGGATGGAATCTACAGCCTTGCAAATACTAGGCGGTTCACTATCACTGAGCTATACTCCAGTGCCCATATCAACTGTTTTTACTTTATAATTTATATATTTTTTGAGTGTTACTGAGGTTGGAATTCAGAGCCTCACACTTGCCTACACAAGTGCTCTACCTCTTGGCCTCTCCTCTATCTCTTTCAGTCTAGTTTGTTTTTAGACAGAGTTTCATGTTTTTGGTCATCCATCTTTGGCTCATAACTCTTATATCTCCACTTCTGCTTTTGAGATAAGGTCTGACTATTTTTTTTTTTTTTTTTTTGGTCAGTCATGGGGCTTGAACTCAGGGCCTGGACACTGTCCTTGAACTTTTTCCCTCAAGGCTAATGCCCTATCACTTTGAGCCACAGAGCCACTTCTAGTTTTCTGGTAGTTAATTAGACTTTCCTGTCCCAGCTGGTTTTGAACCTTGGGCCTCAGATCTCAGTCTCCTGTGCCACCAGCACCCAGCTCCCACTAACTTTCTGCCCTTGAATTATGATCCCCTTATTTCTACCTTTCTGGTATTACAGGTGTGCATTACCACACTGAACTGTATAAAAGTTTTTTTGGGGTAGGAGGTAGAATGATGGGGAAAGAGGTTACACTGACCAAGATGCATTATACCCCAAAATTGACATGTTGAATTGAAACCCCTTTGCGCAACTACTTAAAGATAATAGTAAAAATGAAAAGTGAAGACAGTGCCTTGCTATGGAGCCCAGACTGGTCTTGAGTTTTTGATCTTCTTGTTTCCATCTCTGAATGTTGCAGTAACGGGAGTGCACCACTGCTATCGCCACCTCTACTTAAAAGTTAACGTTATACAGTGAGCATTTCACCACATCGCTAAGTATTTACTTCTGGTTTTTTCTTTTAATTTTTTAAATTTTTTATTGTAAAGGTGATGCACAAAGTGGTTACAGTTACATAAGGTAATGAACAGTATCGCCCCCTCCCTCATTTTCTCCCAGTTTTATCCCCGCCTAATCCCCCTCCCCTCCAAATTGTATAATTCATTTCCAACATAGTAAATATTCACCTCTAAACCTACTTTGATGGCTGCAGGTTAGTTTTTGTTGGAGTATTTCTTAGCTTTATAACTGCTATTCCTTTGGTTTAGTCACCTGTTAAGAAAGTAATTTACAAGACCTGCAGTGGAGAAGTACAATAGGGATTTAAACCAAATCATTTTTTTTTTTTTTTTTTTGGTCAGTTGTGGAGCTTGAACTCTGGGCCTGGGCACTGTTCCTCAGCTCTTCAGCTCAAGGCTAGCGCTCTACCACTTGAGCCACAGTACCACTTCCGTTTTTCTGGTAGTTTATAGGAGATAAGAGTTTCACAGACTTTCCTGCCCAGGCTGGCTTTGAACTGTGATCCTCAGATCTCATCCTTCTGAGTAGCTAGGATTACATGTGTGAGCCACTGGCACCTGGCTCCAAATCATTTTTTTATTCTTCATCTTCAAGGTACTTTTAGTGTCTTAATCGGTCCTTTTGTTGCTGGATATCTTTCAGGATAAAATAAAAGCCTTTAACTTAATTTTAATACTCTTCCTGTTAATGCATTGGATAGCCAAGTAGCAGAGTACTCTGCTGTAGGCGAGTGCCCTGCGCTCCTCTGTCCCGCAGCAAGTGGCAATGCCCTTGCCTGGGCTCTCTGCAGCTGCCCACAGCTGCTCACATGACCCAACAAGTTGCATGTCATGTGACTCACCTTTCTCAATCCCCAGAGCTCTCTAGGGCCTACCATGGTTCCTCCCATTTTCCAGGTGGTCAGAGGGAGGTGGAGAGAGCTAACGTTTTCCAGATACCATCATTCAAAGCTCTGATGTTAACTTCAGCTCTGCCTCCCTCCCTTCAGTCACAGATGCTTTCCGCCCCTTTGCCTCCTCCTCCTGCTCCTCCTCTTCCTCCTCTTTCCCTTCCTTTCTCTGTCTCTTTCATGTTTTCATATTTATTTACTAACCCCTTTCAAAGTGGTAAATATCGTTTCCTGTGTGTGTCTGTGTGTGCTAGTAATGGGGCTTGAATTTAGGACATCTGTCTCTTTCTTACCTTTTTTACTTAATTCTGGAACTCTACCACTTGAGCCACATTTCCACTTTTGGCTTTTTGCTGGTTAATTGGGGATAAGAGTCAGATTTGTCTGCCTTATCTTGTGTTCAGATCTCAGTGGACTGAGTAGCTAGTAGTAGATAGTCTTGGCATTGCAGTCCTAAGTACATCAAATTTTCTAAACTTACAAAAAACTAAGTTATTAC